GTGCCCACAAGAACCATACTATTTTATCCTTAGCTGGTTTTTCCCCTTCCTTTCCAAGCGTAATAATACGCTTTTCAACTATTGAATCCCCTGTCCAAAATGTATATTTGTACTTTTGGGATAGTACATTTATCACTGGGTTCATATAATATTTTTTTCTGTGAAAAAATATGACGCCTAAATGTGTCCTTAGGCACTATGAACCTATTTTAAAAATGCCCTACCTGTAACTATAAGTTTAAACTTGCCATTGGTACTGAAACACAAGAACGTTTTAGCCTTGCAATAATCTGTGGGTAAAAGATCCATAAACCATGAATACAAAAAGTGTGGCCTAACACGCTGCTTCTCCAAAGACAGATTCCTTTCATGTAGATTAAAGTCCGATCTTTTATAATGCGATACATCTCTGTGTCAAGATCTGAGGACACTCCCATAGGCAGTCAAGTCATGTGAACCCTGAGTGAACTTTCACATCAATTCTACATGAAGGACGCATGGGTACCAATCAGACATCATTCTAAATGATTTGACTTCATTGTTTCACCACCTCCAGTCAAAATTTTTTATTTTAGCAAAAGAAAAGCACCACTGAACACAAACATGCACTTGACAGTACACCCTTTTAGGTGTAGACGCCATGGTATTATAACAGCACAGATTTATTCATTAGCATTTGGAACTCCCTGATTATATTCATTTTTGCTCACTTTGCACTGAGAATTTAGAAGCCATCGATGCTGATTGGCTGATTACAAAATTCACCTGACAAGACTTCAGATCTTCACGCGGAGGTATCGTATTGCAGTAAAATATCTGACTTAAATGAGACAGGAATTTTTGCTTAATGATTGACATTGACAAAATTGACATAGATTCTAACCCTGATATAGTGTGGCTATCAACACCAAATACTGACTAAATAATACTCAAATAACACCACCTTGTTCACAGGTTCCAATCTTGTTTCCTACATTTTAATGTCATTGTGTTTAGAACAAAATATAGATACTGAAACTATTGAGTTCTTGATCTCCTAAGTCAAAGCATCAGTTTTTCTATGACATGATCATAGTCACAATAATTCTTAAGGTAATGTAGTTTACAAGATTACATCATAAATAGCACAGCATCCTTTAGCTGAGGTTTGTATGTCATGAAACAGATCCCAGTGTATAAACATGAATAAATAATGAAGCTGAAGTTTGATACATCGATTGAGCAAACAACACAGACATGATATGTAATGAGATCTGTACAGACAGAAATAACAGCAGGTCTGTGTATATATACAGTCACTATATGACGACACTATATTTAAAACCTGGCATAAGTCCTTGATTAATCATTAAGAGGATATCTATTTCAGAAGGCCCTAGAAGTGTATTTTATTTGAGGCGATTTTTAGATATTCTGCAGAGATGTTTGCATCATGTGTTTCAAATTTGTTTGTCCTGATAAGTAAATGGTTAAGTTGGGTTTGATGCCACTTATAACAGTATTTCATTTATACCATGTCATGTCAGCCTAATGTGGGAGGGAAGCCCAAAGTGATGCAGGTCTCAGACACTTACCACTTTGGTGAAACTCATATCTATTGATTATATGTACATGTACTTGCATGCTAGAAATATCTAGAAGTCAAGCAGAACTACAGTGAATTTCTTTGGCATTTACCAGGCACGTGAGTGAGATGTCTGTGAATTGTGAAGTGTAACAGCAGAGAATATGACAATATTGTGGCTAACTTCTAACAATTTGTCAGGGAGTACTTCAAACCTTCAATGCAGTATAACATTTCTTTAAATTCTTAAAGTTTTTAGACATTCCCCTCATAAAAATGTAATTGTGAAAATGTTGAGATCCTCAAAGAGAATCTGTTGTCATGAAAATCCTATTTACAATGATTTATAAAAACAGGGGTGCGGAGATCTTTCAAGATTTTTTTGATGACTCCCTTTCCATTCTGGTTGCTCTTATATTGACAACAGAAATGCTGTTCATTTTCAGAGTGAAATAATTAGATCTATTCTTTTTGGACATGAACTGTAGTGAGTGAGTGAGTGAGTATTGTTTTACACCGTCTTTTGCAATATTCCAGCAATATCATGGCTGGGGGACACCAGAAATGGGCTTCACACATTTTACCCATGTGGGGAATCAAACCGAGCCTTCAAAGTAACAAGCGAACACTTTAACCACTAGGCTAGACTAGGCTACCCAAAGACCCCTGACATGCAGTGTAAATTCCCTGAAAATTGATTTGGTCTGACAGAAAACTTGCAGATCTATTAACCCCCCAATACCAAAACATAAGAAGTTAACATAATTATACAACACCAAACGTTTGAAGTGCTCCTTTATAGGCTTGAGGCGGACATCTGATGATAGAAGCAAGAGTGATCAAGGGACTGTTACTGGAGTAAGTGAGTTTGGCTTAACACTGCTTTCAATAGTATCCAAGTAATTACAGTGTCTCAGCTTGACGTGGCAAGAAAGTTTTGTTTGTTTGTTGTTTAACGCCACACTCAGCAATATTCCGGCTATATGACGGCGGTCTGTAAATAATCGAGTCTGGACAATCGAGTGACTGACATCATGAGCATCGATCCACTCAATTGGCATCGATGACATGAATCAACCAACTCAGCAAGCCTGACCATGCAATCCCGTTAGTCGCCTCTTACGACAAGCATAGTCACCTTTTACGGCAAGCATGGGTTGCTGAAGACCTATTCTACCCTGGATCTTCACGGGTCGGCAAGAAAGTAGTGATGCTAGCTGTAGAGTTTTGATGAAATCCACTAGGAGACGTACGGTGCTGACAAACCAAGGATCTCACTCAGTCCAAGGGACTGAATCCCAGGCCCAGCAGATCCCTCGTCAGTGAGTTCATGTCATCAGCACAAATAGCTGAGCCGGATGACGAGTATTCTGTTTGATAATACTGTGTAAGGGACCTTGATTATCCAGTGTATTAAATCTTCATTCTATTATGATAAATATACAGGACATATTTGGCACCAAAGCATCGGTTTGTGTCCAATGCGAAATATGAAATGCTAAAATAGCCGTCCAATTAAACTACACCTAAGAGGGATTGTGTGCAAAGTTTCTGATGAGAAGAATGGTGATGGTGATGGTGTTAGTATACAAAACTACAGGTGGTGAGTCAAACCAGGGCATTTATCATACAATAGGGACATAATACACTGTATTATCGAGGATGATTTCATGTACATTATCAACCCTGGTCTATATGGTATTAACTAGGCTACTCTAACCTTTTTTGTAAAACATAATAACAATCAATGTTTTGCAATACATACGCAAACAATTCAGTGGAAAACTTTGGATATAGTTCAAAATTAATCCAACAAATCAAAGACAGAAATGCTCCATTGTCACATAGATAATTTGCAAGTTGGTGTTATTTCTGTCTGAGGCTTTAAGTCAGAAACATTCCTTCACACTGCAACCTATACAGAGAGGGAAAGTGGACAGTGGCACACTATCACTCATCATGCTGTTTTCTACACAACTGTTCATTAGTTGAAAGTATATTTGATTACATGCATGAAAAGATCTATAATAATTGTCAACAAAAATACAAATATATGTTCCTGCTTATCAAGGCACAGATCAACTAATATAGATAGGTTACAAGATGATGTTTCAAGTCTTGTTTGGTGTGTGAGTCCCTACTAGTATTTGATGAGTTCATTGCACCTTTTGACATACTCGTTGTACTTAGAAAAATATATTGCTGCAAAGAAGCTTCTTGGAAAATATTTGTCCTCAGGAATGCTAAAACTGGGACATCACAATATGTGTGCCTGGTACAGCCCAAACCAGGATTTCACCAAATGTAGAGTGTGTCTATGAATAATGGTGTGCATGTTTTGATTAATCACACTTTTCAGACAAACAAAATTCTAAAAGAAATTGGACGTGTAAACAAACAATTCCTCTATCAGTTGGCACACATGAAATAGTCAGCAGAAAGCATGTGTAAATCCTGCACCATGGACATCACCACAATGTTTACTTGAAATAAAGGACTGATACGAAACAACTATTGCAACCAGAAACCAACAGCAACTTCAACACTTAGTCTATGAAAGAGACCATGGATTTTTATACAAGTATGTATTCTAATCTATTAGGGGCGGTCGGGTAGCCTAGTGGTTAAAGCGTTCACTCATCACGCCGAAGACCCGGGTTTGATTCCCGACATGGGTACAATGTGTGAAGCCCATTTCTGGTGTCCCCCGCCGTGATATTGCTGGAATATTGCTAAAAGCGGCGTAAAATCAAACTCACTCACTCACTCTAATCTATTAAAAGAAAGTTATTTTGTAAGATGAGGTATGTAATACTGGAAAATAATGTTTTCGCCCTAGTTCTACCAGCATGCATTCCAAATGCTGTTACTGTTGTAAATTCTCACGTGACAAGGATAACATGCTGCATGTCATTTGTTAAGTACAGTTACAAAGTTGACTATCATGAACACATTCTAATGCCCCAGGGTGATAAAACTGTACTGTTCATGTGAATAATGAAATTCATTCATAACAGATTTTGAGATTATTTCTAGAACTGATTTTATGTAAAACTTTGAAATTAAACTCTGACGTTCACTTCATAATGGAGACTAAACGACAGATACTACAAGGTGACTAGCTTTCTTGCTGCTTAACTTTCACAGTTACATTACATTGGAATCTTATTTTCTTATTTGACAGATAACATAGCCTGAGGATGTTTTTTTTTAACTGATATAACTGTATTCGACGTAATAAGCGCCCAGGGCGCTCTCAAAATTAGAAATAGGGGGCTCTTATTAGAATATTATTTTGGTGGAAAAAACAGTTGAAAGATAAATTTTGTGGTTTATGCTGACGGCCTGACTGTTTACATACGACAGATATATTTTTCTAGAATTTAATTTCCCATAATTAAGGGTGCATATAACATGTGAGTGCGTATTATACACGAACAAATAAGTCTTGCGTACATTGATCAATCGGAAGGGGTGCTAATTGGGATTGTTCACTTGCAAATATTGCTGTGGGCGCATATTAGTGCGGGGCGCTTATTACGTCGAATACGGTACTCAACTTACATTTATTAATCATAAATTAAATTTCTTGTTTCTTGGCTGAAGGCAAAATGAAAAAAATATAGAAAGAAGGAGAACTATATTTTCAATGAAGCACATTACGTTTGTTAATATTTGAAAAAATAAGGGTAGGCTCAAAGTAAAACAAGGAAATAATTTTATCTGGCTCAATAACATATTTACGAGTAGATAGAATACCGGTAAGAATGAATAGCTGTCCACAGTAAACCAAGAAATTAATATATGTGACTTGGATGGTAGCATGTAGATAGACACACAACAAGTAAGTGTCAAATCATGGCCATATTACGTGTTGTTAGTCAACACCGGCCACATAACCTTCTCAAACAGCACAAAATCTTATTCTCAGATATTTCTTTGAATGTTCAATACAATATTGGTTCTGGCTTTCCAACTCATGGTGTTGTGAATCATCAAACCTTCTCCAAAAATTTGGCAAGAGTAGACGTCCAAAGCTTAACCGTATCCTCACAGCTGCCTTTGAACATGTAACGGACAGTAGACATTACATAACAGACACAAGATGCACACCACGTTTATATCAGCACATCACCAGCAACTCCATGCCACACCGCAACAACTTCTTCAAGGCACAAATGCAATGAATTACAGAATTTGCTGAATTCTGCAACTACAGAATTCAATCTTGCATTACCAGGCTCTCCATGAATTCAGAAACACCATGTGAAATAGTGTGAAATCACTGTAAAATGCTGTGAAATCCTCCATCAGAACCAGCTGTTTGAACACAGACACCCATCAATGGTAAAGACCATGTGAAGTGAGCAAGTAAGTGAGTTAGGTTTATGGCCAACTCTCTGACCATTCAGTGATAATGGAGATGAATCTCTCCATGCTGCATCTCCTACAACTGTAGCTGAAACTGTAAAAGCACCACACTTTCCACTGTTCTTGCTCTGGTAGTACCGCAGGACATGTCCCCAACTGATCCAGTCAGTTCACTGGGAGTTCAAAGGACTATCAGGCAAAGGATCGGTATGTTTGTGTGTCCCTTGAAGAAATCCATTTGATCCCGATGATACCCTTTTCACTCCACATCCAAAGCAAGTGTGGTGTTTGTCCCCTGAGGAGAAGAGATTCCATGTTATTTATGCTGTATCTCACCATACTGCATCTGATACTCATGTAACTGTGCCTGAAGAATCACCACTCTCTCTACAGCCTCTGCCCGATCCTTCTTCTCCTTCTGCAGACATGAGTTTTGTGATTTGATCATGGCTTCCATTGTATCGATCCTTTTCTCATATCTGTCTTTCAACGCGGACAGGTCAGCCTGGAACTTCTTCAACGTTTCCCCATAGCGGGTCTTTGTATTCACCAGCTCCATCTTTAGAGCCTCACTCTGAGCCAGCAGATGAGCCTCGGATGGCTGCAGTTTGCCATCTGCTTCTACTTTAGCAGACGTGTTATTGTTCATGTGTGATGATGTGCCATTACTGTACACTCTCGGGCATGGTGTTTCATGTCTTTGATCTAAGGCTTCTTTAATACTATCTGAAAGCCTTTGGGAAGGATCTTCTTGAGACTTGCTTTCACTGTCACTACCTGGTCGTCTTTCGCTTATTCTTCTACCACGAGCTATCTTAGACTTTCGTTTGGGAGGAATTGGACGTGCACCAAGAGTGTTTGATCGCCTTTCAACATGAATATTCAACGGGTCAAAACCTAGAGTATAATTCTCACTACCAGTTTTATTTTCCACAAACACAAACGGACTCCCAGGACTATTTGGTGACTGACTATTCTGGGCAAGCTGGTCAAACACTTCATCAGCAAATGCCAAGTCCAAAGACTTCAGATCGTGCAGGGCAGACCGATGGTCAGACTTGGTGGAGGCCGCTTGAGGACTCAGCACTGGGTTGGCATCCCATGTGGACAACCTCAGCAGGTCGGCCTCGGGCACGTTAATATTCCCATCCTCCCTGTACTCCAATGTAAATACAGTTTTAAAATTCTTGATCATCATGTAGGCAAGCTTCTGGGTGAGGTCTGCAGTGACCATGAACAGTTCTGGGTTATCATCCATGTGTCGGATGATGTTAGGACCAAATACCGTCGCCAGGTTATTTACAGTCATTTTGTTGATGTCACTCTTTTCACCAATGTCATGTAAAAATTTGCATAGGTATTTCAGGATGCAGTAATTGTCCTTAGGCATGTCGGGCATGGCACCTTGTAGTTCGGCTACACATTTGTCCTTGGTTTCTTCATTCTTGGCATCAATGAACCTGAGCGCATGGTTCATGTACCGCTGGTACAATTTACAGGGGATGATGGATTCGGGCAGCTCTCGGAAGTACAGCTTCAGCAAAGAGGCCACGCTGTTGACATCGGGTTGAAGCACATCAAAGGACACGGCCTCAGCACAATCAAATTTCTCTTTCAGTTCTCTTATTAGGGATGTACGGCCTGGTAACCTACAAAGAGAGACACACATTAACAAGAGTGATCAGAAGAGGACATATTACCATGGCTCTGTGACATGGAAGCATTCTGAATCATTCTGAGACAGAATCAACATCTGTTTGATACTATTTCCATATTTTTTTATAGAAATATATAAAATTGAAAATTGTACATTAAATTGTATATTTATATACTTATCCTATCTCACACTATGCATTTCTTCCATCTTCTTTCAATCCTTGTGTGGAAACACGCTAAAAACAAATTTTCCAGATTCTAAAAACATTTTGCCCAAACACATCCCAGCATCACCCAAACAAATGGGTCACACACTGTAATCCTGTGCATTGTTACCTTACACGATACGATCACCTGACTACCCCTGCTATATCATGCTCTTTCTTAAAGCGGATTGGGAGGGCATATAGTGTGATATATACGAGGAATCTGGGGCTCAACAGTGAAACAAACAAATAGTTATTACACTGTCTTAAAAGAACTTGTGAGTAAGGAAAAACACCATAAGAGGCGATGTGACCCCTTTACTCATGAAATTTGGTATAACATGTGTTACATAGGACAAATGTTACTCAAATGACCGTGTAGCTTTGAATAGGGACCTATTCAGCCACGACTTATAACCAATCTGGAATGGTCTCCAGTCAGTCAGTTTTACAAGACAGACTACGACTGACTACACAGCTTGTATATCTATGGACAAATCAGGTGACCCAGCATGGCATCTTTTGTAAAGCTTCATCAAAACTATCAATCATGCCAGAAGGGGGAATGATCGACAATATCTATAAGAGTATCATCAAACCAGTGCTAAGACATCACATGCACAGGGCAGAGGTGAGCAGTTAAGGGCTTGGGAAACTGCAACAACAGCCTTGCCTTGCTGAGACTTCATGTTTAAATCTGGAATCTTTACAGATGAGTCACTTTGCCCTCAGTACTGGGCTGTAGAAGTGGGTACATGGTATAATCAGTCTGCACTGGATGGCAGCCATCAACTGTTGCACCAGGACCAACGGACCAAATTGGTGCAGGCCCTGAACATCATCAGATAGTGGACAGCGAAAACAATAACCCTCCATGATGACAGACAGAGTGCAGTTGCTGTGCAGGGCCATCATAGTAGAGGGGAAGGCTAGTCAAATGTGGATTGGATGTCACAGGAGAAGGCAATCCAGCAAATGCGTAGACTGATATGCAAGACTGCCATGGTGTCCGCCATGGAAAGTCACTTCCAGGAACATCTGAGCAGTGTCACAGCCTTGAGGGAGGTGCAGAAAACCTTTACCTGATATAAGGAGAAGTCTTCATGGTTGTCTGGGTTTAAAATGGATGCCAATGAAGAGATAGTAAACACCCTGTCTGGTTACCCTGAAGTTGATTCTTTGTGATGAAGTCTCATCAAAGCCCAAGACAGATCTTCCCATTGTGTAGTCACTCAAACTAGACTCTGTTGAAATGGATTGAACTCACTGTAGCAGCAGTTGCAAGGGCCAGGAGAAAAAAACGACTTTAGGGTGATCAACTAAAAGTGCTTGTTATTCATAATCCGCAGTGTTACATGATGGAGGATGACAAGTAGGGTTCCCAAGTAGGAGGACGGAATTGAGACGATTGGTCAGCAAACTTGAAGGACCGAATGAGAGATTGTAGCTCAGCAACCATGGAGATCTTCGATCCGTTTTTTGTGGCAATGACAGAGTTGTTCCCAGTTGATGTGTTGCCAAAGTGGAGACCTTAAGTTTCTGAGTCAATCTCAGATGCTGTAGATATTCTGCAACCTGTTGAGGAGAATCAGTAGTCAGTGTGGTGATGTCACAAGCCCGACAGTAACCTTAACATTCCTTCCACTTATCATCATATAAGGCCTTGGTGGAGTTGTGGTGAGCTTCAGTGATGGTCTTGGCTACTCTTTTTGAATATCCTTTGGTGACAAGTGACTCCTCGAGATGAGCCATATGCAAAGATGGAGGGTTTCAGTTGACGGGTGCAGCAGGAGTGAGTGAGGCTGGAGTAGAAGAGTCCCTCAGCAGAAGATAGTTGAACTTTCTTCCTGTGAACCAACATCAAGCTGGCCAGTAGGGTGCCACCAATAGCAGCCGAAGTTAAGTGTGTGATCACTGCCTTTTGAAGTACCTGAGGTAGGAGGCTTGTCAGGTGAAAGGTGTAGGAGGTTAGGTTCTCCCATGAGATGGCCAGAGCGTCGTGGTCCCACGCCTGAGGATCTGGGATAGGAGAGACGAAACTTGGGAGCCTACCGCTGAACCTGGTTGAGAAGTGGTCGGCATCTTGTCTTGGGTAGTGGTGGCAAACCCCCCCCCCAAAGTCATCGAATGGACACACCATTCCATTGGTGAAGGTTGGGCAGGTCAGGATAGGGAGGCGTCGACGAATTAGTATAGAGTTGGGTTGAAGGGCTACAAAGAGATTCTGGTCCAGACATTCAACTCATTAGCTACCACTGAAGATCCTGATGTAGTGATTCCGGGAAGTTGATCAGAACCCAGCAGTTGTCATCCTGGAGGAAGAGCTATAAGAAACATTGGATCAGTCGTAGCTGGTGTTGACCCCTCTGTCAGAAGACCTAGCAGCTGTTGCCATTGGCGTAGAGGCAGCAGCTGTCTGAGTGCCAACGCCACTGAATGTTGTATCTTCTATCATCTGTCTGGGGGAACAAACATCATGCCCTGCTTGATGTCGAACAGAGCCCTGATGAACTGCAGACATCAAGTGGGAGTCGTCCTGGACTTCATGACGTTGATGAGCCAACCTAGTTGATGAATAGAAATCTTGGTGCTTCCCGAGGGTGTCTAAATCTGCATCGGTTTGAATGCAGTTTTTGAGATACACCTCGAAGACTATCCCCCAAACATGCAGGAACTTTGTGATTGGCTTCGTAATACAGTAAAAAGGTACTGGGCCAAATAAATTCCAAACGGGAGCAACTTCCATTGGTAGTGGAGGCCTTGGAAAATGAACCGCTTGTAATGACAGTGCTCCCGATGGATGGGTACGTGTAGATATTCGTCTTGCAAATCTAGACTGACCATGTAGTCTCCTGGCTGTTTGGAGTAGCACGATGGATGTCATGCTAAAATGTGGGGGATCTTCGCGGTACGGTGTGTAGAACATTTTCAGATTGAAGCTCATGGACAGTTTGTTGCTGTCTTCAGAACCAGAAAAATCGGCAAGTAAAACCCTGGGGTACCTGGGCTGGGACCTAGAAAATCTACAGCCTGTTTGGAGGTCAACCTACTGATTGAGTCTTGCAGAGCCTGAAGGTGGCTGTCTGGGTACTCTCTCTGATGGGGAATGGACCTGGTTGGAGGAGTCCCTGTCAATGGCAATCTATACCCAATCTTGAGGAGTTGAGTGACGAAGGTGTCACCCAGTTTGGTCCAGTTGTCTGCAAGAAAACTTCTGCCTACAAGGGTCTCGGTCGCAACCTCTGCCACGAAAGGAATAGTTTTTTGACACTATGATGGGTTAACCTCAGGTCGATGGCACTCTTTCTTCTGTGGTTCTTTGAAGTGCTGCAGGCCGAACCAACGTAGGCATGGTAACGGGTGCACGGGGGACAGGTGACCAATTCATTTTGGTGGGAATATTTCACGTAAGAAGCTGCCAGAAACACCATCATCTTCTACTGATAGTGAAGTAGATGCGGGAGGTGGCTCAACAACCGCTACAGTAGAGGGCACCACTGGCTTGGTTACACGGTTGGGTTTCTTGGCAGTGGAAGGTCCATGTCCAGCATCCCTGGATTAAGTTCACTGGTCAACATTACATTTCTGACATTTACGTAAATATGTGTGAAAAGCTTCCTCTGTGAGCTGAGAACATGTAAACATCTGTAGTCCGGCTTGCAAAGGCTGCGACAGTCACAACAGAGATCATGTGTATCGGCTGAGGAATAAGTATGTCTGCAATTTCTACAGGTCGGGCATTTCTCATGATCTGTTCCATTCTCTTTTTCAAATAATGCCATAGATGTTAACAAGATTGCAGAGGGAGCTTTCACACACAAAACAAATGTATTCTCTAGTACTCAGTACATGCCCCACACGGTAGCGACGAGAAAGAGAATGATGTCACAGGAGTAGTCAGCTGATCAAGTCATGTAAGGTCAAAATGCACACGATTATAGTGATGCTGGGATATGGTGATAATAGTGATGCTGGGATATGGTGATAATAGTGATGCTGGGATATGGTGATTATAGTGATGCTGGGATATGGTGATTATAGTGATGCTGGGATATGGTGATTATGGTGATGCTGGGATATGGTGATTATAGTGATGCTGGGATATGGTGATTATAGTGATGCTGGGATATGGTTATTATAGTGATGCTGGGATATGGTGATTATAGTGATGCTGGGATATGGTGATTATAGTGATGATGGGATATGGTGATAATAGTGATGCTGGGATATGGTGATAATAGTGATGCTGGGATATGGTGATTATAGTGATGCTGGGATATGGTGATTATAGTGATGCTTGGATATGGTGATTATGGTGATGCTGGGATATGGTGATTATAGTGATGCTGGGATATGGTGATTATGGTGATGCTGGGAAATGGTGATTATAGTGATACTGGGATATGGTGATTATAGTGATACTGGGATATGGTGATTATAGTGATGCCGGGATATGGTGATTATAGTGATACTGGGATATGGTGATTATAGTGATGCTGGGATGTGTTCAAGCGAAATGCTTTTAGTTCATGGAAACTTTTTTTTAACACGTTTCCACACAAGGATCGAAAGAAAAAGAAAGAAATGCATAGTATGAGATAGGATAAGTTTAAAAATTATAAATTTCTAAATCAATTAATCAATCAGTATGAGCACCACCATGGGAGCAGTGGGTTTTTTTCTTCTAAAGTGAACCTCAAAGCACCAGTCCAACTTGATTTCTGGAAAACACCCCTAAATATTATCTACATAGCTGATGGCATCACTTGCTGAGTACAATCTTGCAAAATATTCATTAGCTTTCTACTTCTTCTTCAGTAATATCACAGTGGGTGACACCAGAATTGCACCAAAAGTGGGAAATCAAACCCAGACATTTGGTGAACAAACACTTTACCAACTAGACTAGCAGAATGAAAACAAGATCAAGCCATCAAATTGTGAAATGAGACCTAGCTGCCTAGAAATCCCACCTGAAGATTCCCTCGACTTCCAGTCCATTAGCGTAGAGGAACTCAACACACTTCTCTATGATGGCTGGGATCTTCTTCCCCTCACTGTGGGTGAACTTCATCGCTTCCTCCAGGTTCTGACCAAATATGGCTGCAAAGGTCAGAAGTGATCATTCAGGCTTTATTGCAATGAAGGAAACAGGTATAGATGGTAAATATCAGTGAGAGCTTTTTCATGTTTCAAGCAATATAACGGGGACTCGATTTTACACATTCTACCCATGTGGGGAATGACCCTGTGTCTTAAACAAAACAAGCAATGGCTTCAACAACAGGGCTTCACACATTCTACCCATGTGATTGAGTGAGTGAGTGAGTGATGGGATATACACAGCTTTGAACAGTATTCCAGTTATATCAGTTTGATGCAGGTCTCAGTCCTTTACTACTTTGGTGAAACCCACATGCACAGGTATTGTGCTGACAAACCTAGAAACATAATTGGGGCAAACCAGGTTTCCAAACAACCATCAAAGGTTTCTGGCATGCCCAGGGGGCAAGGGCGGCCCAGTCGTCTAAGGCCCCGCGATTCGCTGTGCAGAGTTGCATCCCTTGGGCACGCCAGAAACCTATGATTGTGGGTTCGAATCCCAGTTCGCCCCGATTATGTTTCTAGGTTAGTCAGCACCATACCCGTGCTCGCGGGTTTCATGGAAGTGGTAAACGTCTGAGACCTGCATCACTTTGGGCTTTCCTCCCACATTAAGCTGACACATCGTGATATAACTGGAATACTGTTAAAAGCGGCGTTAAACCTAACTCACTCACTCTGGCATGCCTAAGGTATGAACTCCGACTTCATGAAGTCTTTCATTCGGATCAATCATTATCAATCAGTGATGTCATGAACAATGGTGTGGTGATGTGAAATGGGGTTTAACATCACGTTCAAGATTATTTCACATATAGCAACATGCCTGCACGTGTGTGGCTGCTTGTACTGGTCCAGACTTTAGCTACTTTTATAGCACTACCCCTCTGAGTTACCATGCCACAGTTTAACATGCATACCCCACTCAGACACAGTATCCTGACTCCAAGCTGACCAGTCCTTGTTTATTTCCTTATGTCAAACGCCAGGCAGGGTAACAAAAAACATAATATTTTCATATATCTAGGTGTGACGTGGTCAGGGGATCAAACTACAGATCCATGCACAAAAAAATAGTTTTATCAAATTGATCTCAATAAATAAGCAATGTGATGTCACATCACTTGAACTGAATTATCAATTTCGGAATCGCTAAAATGATCTTTCTACCCTCATGGATAACATACAGTTTTCATATTCTTTAGATAAAAGCTGTATATTTATTTAGCACACTGATTTTTTTATAATGGAACAGATATTGGAATAATAAGAAGTATGGTATTTGGAATACATCCCTTATCTGTATCAGTTGCAAAGGTCATTGCAATTACAGCACATACAAATGGAATGGAATCCATCATCAATAGCTGAATATCATTTCAATTACAGGGGTAGTGATCAATCTCCCTGTAAGCCAGGCAATGTCATGATGTCAAAGAAATATTAATTTACAGGCAAAAGTGAAGTGTACATATTTTCAAGATTTAATTCAATTCTACAAATGTGGCATATCTTTTCCCTTTTGGGAATTTGCACTCCTGCTTGGTTAATAAATATCCATTAGTGTGCCTTATAGCTTCCTAGCTCCAGGAAGATGAAGCAAGACTTTGCCTTTGCTGAATCCAACATAGTCAAATATATTGTTGATAAAAGATGTTATCTTCCTTGTTATCATCTGTGACTTCATTCAGAAAGAGTGAGTAAGTAAGTGAGTTTTGTCTAACACTGTGAGAGAAAAGCAGAAGTGATGCAAGTCTCCAACATTTACCGCTTTGGAAGATAACTGCATTTAAATAGCGAAGTACATGCACGTGTATGTGTGTGTATGGCTGCTTGTTCTAGTCCTGACTTTCATCAGTTTTACAGAGCAAACCCACTGCACGATTCGCTGTGCAGAGTTGCGTCCCTTGGGCACACCAGAAACCTATGACTGTTGGTTTGAATCCAGGTTTGCCCTGATTATGTTTCTAGGTTTGTCAGCACCAAACCCGTACTCGTGGGTTTCACAGAAGTGGTAAATGTCTGAGGCCTGCATCACTTCGGGCTTTCCTCCCACATTAAGCGAAAAAACTGGAATACTGTTAAAATCGGTGTTAAACCCAACTCACTCACTCACTCCAATGCTGAACAAGAAAATGACAAAAATACAAACATTTGATACCGGTAAAAAAAATGACATCTTAGTCAAGATAAGCAAAAAATGGTAAAAGAGTACGAACATTTTTGTCAAGACAAGCAAATCAGTTTATCATGAGATAAAACACACTTAAGGCTACCAATTAAAAGAAACATTTTTCCATTATCTAACAACCCCTACTGAAAATGTCTTCAATCTACCTAAATGGTTGTATAAGAATAGAATAACAGATAGACAACATCCCTGAACATATCAGCCAGGATAAGGAACTGTTAGCACTATAGATATCAAGGTACTTGACCTCCATGGGATAGCCTGTATCCTGTCTTGGACATACACAGTTTATGTCCCCTTTCCGTTCACCAAAAGGAGGCAAACCAAATGTTGTTCTGGTTACAGATATTTTTGGTGCAATACTAAAAAAACCATTTGAAATGCTGTCAGGGTTGATTTTAGTGCAATTTCTTAAAAAAAAGCTCTTCAAATGGAATGGGTATTCATTCTTAGAATAATTTCAATCAAACAGTGTTCTAGTCTTGCGCTATGACTGTGGAATTTATAAATAAATAAATAAATAAATATATATAAATATATATATATATATATATATATATAGAGAGAGAGAGAGAGAGAGAGAGAGAGAGAGAGAGAGAGAGTAATAATTAAATAAGTGGAATAAGATTGAACACAGTTTTAATAGGCTAGCGCTTTCAACTCGTACCATATATATATTACTACAAGCCTTGGTAAGTCTGGATCAAATAACAATTATTTAAAAAAATGTTTTCATAGACTAAGTGCTTGTCTAACAGTGTTCATAATTTTGATGATTCCTTTTACTTTTTGCAAACTTTAGGCAAAATTTGAACAAAATTAACATTAAAACATAAACAAGGTGTTCAATCTAAGCATATTTTCAATCAAACAAAGTGTTTGTAATTTTGATTATTCTGGTTAATTTTTAAAATGTGAGAGAAGAGCAGAAAAAAATTCATCTGGCCTAAAACAGGAAATAAATTAGCCTGGGCACATGGTGGACAACATTCCATGCCCTACATAGAGCTTGATACAAGTGAGATTCACACCACACCAGCTGTGAATCCCTCACATACCTGTCCGAGGGAGAACAGCTGTAAAACGTTACTGTTTCACCCTCAGCCCAACATCTGTTCAACTTCATTTACAAAATCAATATGTGTATAGACTTAAAGCCTAGAGATAACAAAATAACAAAGCAGTAACACATTACTCTTTACTCAGCGATATCATGTAGTTACAGCCCTATTATACACTTAACAATGCATCCCTGAAGATCCGGGTTAGAACTGAGCAGGGTTCCGGATTAAAGGTGATAAACAAGATCTGATGGTCAGACTCGCTGCATGTCATCATTTCCCAATTGCTTAGATCGATGCTCATGATATCAATCACTTGATTATCTAGTCCAGATTGTATTATTTACAGACTGCCGTCATATAGCTGGAATATTGATGAGTGAGCTTTAAACAACAAACAAACAAACAAGCAATGTTAATAATGATAGAAGAGATAGACTGTGATTGATAGTAAGACAGTCTATCTTACGCTCGGGTTTGAACCTACACTAATGCAGCCAGGTCATGACTCTGCAGGGATTTACCTGGACTGATCAGAGGCCGTTATTCAGCAGTCAGCAGCAATTAACATAAACAATTCCCAGAAGGAAAGTATCAGTTTCCCTATTCATGTCAACATTGTTAAAACTACCATGGCTTGGTCGAAGTAACTTGTATTTCACTGATAAAAGGAACAATAAAGAGGAAGTGCTTAATGCTTAGTTTCACATTAGTTCATTGAATGCAATGTCTATGCAAAAATACCTCTGAACTTGAGAAAATACGAACTTCAACAAAATCTCAATTTGAACAAATTTTTAAGTATTTTTTCCAAATTTGAATGCCAAAAAAGTTCGTGCTCCAGGCACTGATATACCACTTATACCAAACTGTCCCCCGGGTGGACATCGTTCCGACAATCTATGGCAATCTGCATAGTAGTCCGTTCCAACAAGAAGCAGAGGACACTGGGGATACTAGGGCTAGGACGGGCAACTCGGGTACTCGGGTCGGGTGGGTACTGAGTAGGACCCGGGTACCCACATGACTACCCAGACCCATGGTTAGTCACGTGATATATTGTTTGATGACAACAACCCACTAGCTCAGTGGTTACACTTCAAGTCGCTAAAGTTCGCATTTCTTTCTGACGATGAACACATTCTTTTTTACTTGTATATGTGTGAATAAAGATAAAGCTTCAGTCAACTTCAGTGAATGCATGATCTGATCTTTTGATCTAAACCTGGACTTGTCCCAGCCCTAGGGGATACAGCCTAATCACCTCTCAGACATTCTGCCCCTGAATCCCCACAACAGAATCACCAAGCAACTAGGGCCACAATTCTGTCATTTGATGGTTCACACATTTTTACTGTCTGCAACATAAGCTTGTTTAGGCTGAAATGAGCGTTCTCTTTTTATTTTTGGGGGGTACACCATAGAGTGTGTAGATTGATAACTACTGTCTATAGTAGCAGGTATTCATGTCATTTAGGAGATTAAACATGACATGTTTTCAATGCAGACCAAGGTCACCATACCAAATTGAGCTTAGAACCAAACATGCAGCTTGAGGTTTCAAATGTGAAATCAAGTGCAGTTAAATGAGCTGGTTATTGGGATTTGAAACCTCTGATTGATGAATCAAAATTAAGTATTTCCAAACTTCATTGAGGAGTTATTTCAATTATTGTCGAAAGCTTCTTGGATCCAATCAGTAAACAAACTTGCATAATCACAATCATGTACTGTAAATTGAAAAAGGATTAAATCTAGACTGACAATGAAACAGTGAACAAACACTTGAAAGGTGATTCGCTTTACGTACCTCCACCTATGTCAGCATAGAGCACATATCTGAGATCCTTCACCCAGCCTAGCCTCTCTTCTCCAGTACTGGCACACAGCATCACAGTCTCCCCACTGCCTGTCTCAAGTCTCGGACCTAATGATTAAACACAAGCATTGTTTTATGCCAGAATTACAAATATTTTAACTATGTGCTGAAGTCTTTATGTAATTGACTCTGGACCAGGCTAACCAGTGACATAAGCAATGATCCATGAAGGGTACAATAATCAAGATCACTCACTGCAAGCACCTGCTCCACATTGTTGTTGGGAGACTGGTGCAGTCTAGCAGTGCAAGGTGCTATTGCTGTTGAAGGATACATATTGTCACTAAGCAATGGTAGTGATCTCCTAGATGGCGCTGCTCCGAAGCTGAAGTCTTCATTCAACTGTCTCCATGGAGGATTTAGTGAGTGTGTGAGTGAGTGGCTGAATGAGTTTGTTTCTTTGTTTGCTTGAAGTTTACCGCCACACTCAGCAATATTCAAGCTGTATGAAGGTGGTTTGTAAATAATCAAGTCTGGACAAGACAATCCAGTGATTGACATCATGAGCATGGATCTATGCAATTGGGATATAATGACATGCATCAACTAAGTCAGCGAGCCTGACCACACGATAAGTTGGGTTAAACATGCCTTGAACAGTATTCTAGTTATAGTTGTGGCGTGTCAGCTTGTGGGCTTAATGTGAGAGGAAAGCCCAAAGTGATGCAGGTGTCAGACATTTCACTTGGTGTACCACAAGAGCATGGGTATGGTATTGAAAAGAACTAGAAATAGGATTTGAACCCATGATCACAGGCCCCTGGAACACAACTTAATGAGGACCGATAACATTTTCTATGGCTCTCATCAGTAACCACCCCTATACTTCTGTACAATCACCTGGTAGAAGGTTCAGGCAGAAAATAATGGCTCTTCCATCAGACCATGTGTTTAACAACTAGGTTGTCAGAAACTGCCGATACATGTGTTAGCTCACCTGGTACAAGATCAAAGCAGAATTTCTCTGGCTCGTCAGGACTGACAGCATGCTCGGTGACTTTATGGCTACCAGATGTCAAGAAGTAAGAGCTCTGTGGCTTAATATCGTCTTCTCTGCTGAACTGAAATAGCATCTTGTCCGTGAGGACAAACCATCTTCGATGCCAGATCTTCATCATCCCACCCTTCTTCAGCAGCCACCCCTTCCGAGATTTCCTCTGCTGACCCTTCACAGCGGACGATATAGGTTCCATGTCTGGAATGTGCAGGGGAGAGATACAGGTGTTATACCACGTTTAGTGTGTAATCTAATATCAAAGGTATGAGATAAAAAAATATATGTTACCATTCATACAAATGTCAGTGAGATACAGTGCTGCACTTATTTGTATTTTTGGTTACTAGCATCGTAGTAACATCAACAAAAAGTAGGTCGAACATAAACAGTTGGCTTTGATACTTGGGAAAGATCCTTTAATCATATTAATATCTATATGAAAAGGTCATAAAAAAACAACTTATGATAGTCTAGAAAACTCTAACTTGAACTTGGCCCATGATATCAAAGGGATTAAAAATTGTAAGAGTCAGCGCATCTTCAGTTACCCAGGGAATCAGATCTCAATTCTATTATGGTTAATCCCCTAGACCTAATCACCACATGGCTTATTGAAGATGGAGCAATGATAAAAGATGTTTTGTACAAGTAGGCAGTGTTAGGCAATACGAACACAGAATGCAAAGACCTCCTCCAAAACATTCCATAAGAACTGCTATTAACATTGATACTTAAGAAATAATATGAGTATTATAACAAAAAAGACATTTACTGAGTATTTAATAATAAGAAAATAGTTTTCAACATTAACATATGAATGTATATTGTTTATGTAATCAACACCAACACTGGTTCTGGAAACACTTTATGTGCAATAGATGTACTGAGAGGGAACTTCCTCCAACTATACCTTATGACAAAGGACTCTGATATAATCAACTTCAGTTCAGAATACACCCTGTGACTAAGGAAACAACAACGATGAATGATCTCATCAAACAACATAAGCTTCCTCATTTAGGGAACAGATACAGGTGATACTGACAGCTTGTGATATTCACCCTCGGTGAGGTTACCATGGAACCTTGCAAAGCATAGCTAGGTCAGAAGTAGACAAACCAGTGATCGATAGCATGCCACCCGGCCTGGGTACAATGCAATCTCAAATCTTCAGTGATAAATACTCTGAAGCCATATTGTCCTCACAATCCACCTTTTAGTTACCTCTTACAACAAGCATGAGGTACATAAGTCCTACGTACCTGGAGTCCAAATGCTCGGAATAATTTCTTAAAATATTATTTTGGTTGGTGTGTGAGTATGTTGGGTTGAACACCAATTTGAACAGTGATTCAGTTACATCACGTCTTCTCAGCTTAATGTGCGAGAAGGTCCGATGTGGTACAGGTCTTTGACGTTTACCACATTGAAACCTACATGCTTGAGTATGGTGCTGACAAACCAAGAATCATAATCAGGGAAAATCTGGGATCCGAAACCATAATCATTGGATTCTGGCACCACTGTGAAATATAACTCTGTTCAGGGAATTTTGCCGCTTTGAGTTGACGGGGCCACCTGTGTCTGGACATGCATCTTGGACTGATTGTAAACATATGATTAGTGGGTGAGTGAGTGAGTGAGTGAGTGAGTGAGTGAGTGAGTGAGTGAGTGAGTGAGTGAGTGAGTGAGTGAGTGAGTGAGTGAGTGAGTGAGTGAGTGAGTGAATGAATGAGTTGGGTTTAACTCCACTTTGAACAGTATTCAGTCATATCATGACATGGCAGCTTGGTGTGAGAGCAGAGTCCAAGGTGGTGCTGGTCTCAGACATTTACCACTTTGGAAAAAACCCATGAGCACGGGTATGGTGTTGACAAACCAAAAAACATAATCGGGTCGACCCCATGATCATAGGTTTCAGGCATGACCAAGGGACACAACTCTGCACAGCAATCTGCGCGCTTTTGACAACTGGGCCAACCTTGGCCCCTAACATACCCCTAACTGTTAGGTTAGTGGGAAAAAGATGAATACAATGCACTTGTCTCACCAAGTTTTAGTTATTGTAAATATTATACTGATGGCTAAGCTTTAAAAGAATGAATCAAATTGATTACAAAGCAACACAAACATTGAGAAAAGTATAGATACATTCACAGGGTTAAAATGTCAGAAGAAACGCATATATGTTAGTTAAAGATGTGTGGTATTATTGGTATATCGGTAATTGAGGTTCATTCTTTCCACGATGCGTATCACAATATTATTTTTTCATGCTCGATATATCAGGTGATTTCAAATAGCAAATTTTATCATGTGTTTAACCTTATTTTCTTGCCAAATGCCTTTGCTGCCCCGCAGCATGCATACAGGACCCGAAAATGGCTGCGTATTTACTGACTGAGTAAACATCATGTTGTACCAGCATCTTGTTTTGTTCAATTTATGAACTTCAGTTCACACCTTAATGTATCAGATTGCTGCTGAATTCAAAATTTAGAATTATACAATATATCGTGATAGGTATCGCAATAAAAAATATTGTGATTCCTTCATACCTCCAATACCCATCTGTAGAGTGTTAGTATAGGCAATAGGCATAGTTACTATATGACACACAGCTGAAAGTAACACACATCAAGACACAACAAGTACCTAACACATCAAGAGAACAGGAAATGATAAAACTCATACCGTATTCAACGTAATAAGCGCCCAGGGCGCTCTCAAAATTAGAAATAGGGAGCTCTTATTAGGATATTATTTTGAGTTGAAAGATCGTAAATTTTGTGGTTTATGCTGACAGCCTGAAATGTTTATATACGACAGATATATTTTTCCAGGATTTAATTGCCCATAATTAAGGGTGCATATGACATACGAGTGCGTATTATACACAAATAAATAAGTCTTGTGTACATTAATCAATTGGAAGGGATGCTAACTGAGATTGTTCATTAGCCAATATATTAGCAAATATCGCCGTGGGCGCTTATTAGAGCAGGGCGCTTATTACGTCGAATACGGTAACCTAAATATTTTCAATATCTGAAAACGAAAAGATGTGTATTAAGCTGTCAGCAATCTAATGCTACATGAAATATCAGAAAACATCTTCCATACAACTTGAAACATGTTTATGAATACATAAAACACATTTTCTATATTTAAGATGATTGATATAATGTAAAATGTCTATGTGGCAGTATATAAGAAATAAAAAGTTCTAAGCTACTTTCTATTTGCTGTTAGTTCTGAGGACAAAAGAACACTACATCTTCATTGCTGGCTTGGCAGTAGTGACATGACCAGTACAGTATCAATACTTGTGGGGAACGGGGTAAGCACAAGCGTCAAATCACATCACATTAGTTCAATCAATCATACACTGAAACATTACAAGATACTTGCCTTACTAACTGACAAAAGGAAAGTGAACACTACTTTCTGCATTGAGTTGTGAATGAATACAAATACCCATACTGACTTGAGAAATGTTTACATTCAATGGTTACAATCTAATTTATAACATTATTGGAAAAAAATCAATTTCCTGAAAACAGAAAACATATTGGATTGGGTGAAAATGTTTTCCGTGGAACTTAAAGTAAAGAATAAATTTTTTATCTTGGACATGAAGTAGTTAGGAAATATTGACACGGTGCTTTAAGAATAAATTGTATAGATCATGAGATTCTATAAAAGACATTACCATGGTTACCACAACAGTAATGTGAGGTGACATACAAAGAGCAGATGAGGGCCCCTTTAAACTTTTATATGCCAATAAATCGGAATTGAATCTAAATGTAAACATTGTTCATCATGAGAAGGAGGCTGTCAAAATTAATTCCAATACAGAATTATTTCAATACTTGTACTAATGATAATTATGGTATGTTACCTGGTATATAATCTTTCAATAAAAGACAAAAGATGTAAGGCCCAAACAAAAACATGATGTTGTTACAATTACCTGACTGACCTTAATTAAAGGTGCAAACCCACCTTTCCTTCAAAAATGAACCACTGCTAACTTTTCAAGATAGTCCTCCAACATACTGCATGTTGGTTGTTTGGGTTTTTTAAAAAAAAGGACAAAAAAGTAGAGGTGACCAATGGGGCTATCATTATTGTGATTGTATCGCATTTAGTAACCTACAATATTGCATTAGTATTGCGATAGTAGTAAACTACTTTTAAGGTTTGATAATTATATTAATCAATGTAATAGAAATAAATAAAATATTGCTGACTATCTAAAAGTCAGCCATTTTCTTTGCTGACACGATTCAAACCAAAGGGAAGTAACTCTAATCTGAAATTGTCATAATCCTAAATGCTAAACAGCACAGTCAGGTTTTAAATATGCATAATGTTCTATTTATAACTAATTGCAACCTTTGATACTATTGATTGTGAAGCATACAATTGACAATACTATTGGCATTTTCAAATGTACCATTGTACTATTGCAATACATTATAGTTCAATATACTGTTATACTCCTACAAAAAAGCCTTCCAACTCAATTTGGAAATTAAGTGTAATTGGAACAAGAAATGTTTGATCAGGCACAGAGTTGTGTATTTATCATGAACTCAGGTAATTTTGATACTGTGATGAACATATGGATTTTGTAACAGTACACATGAAGCTACCACGACTACTGTAACAGGAAAGTAATCATGGAGGCCCTCTTTCACACCGTAGAACAGGAAAGGTTGATGAAAACAGAAACTAATGTCTAATGTTTGACATTAACAGATAAGTAACACATTTAGCAAACTCGTGACTGATCATGCTGCTGGGGGATGTCACTGACCTTTAGACATATCATACATTTCTGTCATAGTAATACAATTGCAATATTGTACCGAACTTAGCTCAGTGTCAGGCTTCATGCCATCTTGGTATTTCGATTGTGAAAACTATATGATGGCATACAATAGTCAAACTACAACAATTATGACTTTGTAACGAGTTAAAGTATGGCATATATGACATATACAAGAGAGTACAGCTCCACCACCCCTCCCAGGCCATCATGGCTGGAGTGCTGGCCTGGTGTTGTTTGTTTTCAGATCAGAATTCTAATCTTTGCTAGGATCATTGATGCAAAGTTTACCATCAATTTAAGGCTTTGTGGTTTTCATATGAGTAGTTGGATTGACAGATGGATGGATGGATGGACAAAGTGCCACGACTTTTGAAGCTTACATATTACCAAATTAACACTGATTAAAACCAAGGCTATCGATCTACCCAGGTAGAATATATCCTAATGTTATTAGTTTTTTCCAGATTCTGTTTACCTTAACCTATTTCTACTGCCTTTAAAAAATAAATGTAAAAGAACATACTCTTTGAACGTCTACTCTTCATATTTATTTAAGAATTAACTTCAATTTTTTTGTGCATTCATGGAGGTATAAAGGTAAGAACTGCTATGCATACTGGGCACATCAACACAGCAAAATGTACACAATGTTTTTTACATTACCTCCATAAACGCACAAAAATATTGAAGTTAATTCTTAAATATATATAAAGAGAAATATATAAATATTGAAGTTAATTCTTATAAATTAATCTGTCAACAATACCTTCAAAGACTGCTTATTTATTCCTTAACATACAAAAATTATAGAAAACCATACAACATCAGTGACATCATCAGCACAGAAATGCAACACAAGCCCCGCCCATTCTATTATCAGCCAATCAGGTAACAGTAGTCCATAAGTGGGCATGGCCTATTATTTATTTTTTTATGGAAACATAAATGCAAAGAATTTTTCCTGGATAACCAATCAAATGCCACAGAATCATTTGCAATTTATTTGTTGCCTCATGTCCAAACACTGGTGACAGGGCAGGAACTTAACCTGGGAATAATCTGTCTCCCAGACCGAGAGAAAAACATTAAGGAGTCCAACTTAAGTCTAGAATGATTTGGCAAGTGTACAATTAAGGATTGTCCTGGGCTCCATTTGGATTTTTTTATTTTTTTATTTTGTAGATAAATATACTTTAGTAAGATAACTTTATTTCTGGGACTAAATGTCTGTCTACCCTGGGACCCCCATGAGGCTTTGTCTAGACTAGAGCTGAAAACGGACACTTGGTCACAATGCGATAGATATCAGGGTACCAAAACAAACATGATATGGTACACTGAGATCCCACTAATCACCACAGTATCACCAGGCCTGCCTCCCTATTACTGACCTTATTTCAGTTGCAGTCTGTACCCTACCCTGCCCTGCCCTGCCCTGCCCTGCCCTGCCCTGCCCTGCCCTGCCCTGGGGATTCCAGGTTAGATAACGTCCCCAGCAGCCTATGCCTGTCATAAGAGATGTCTAAACGGTTTGGGGGGTCAGGTGACTTGGTGGACTGCATGTCATCGTACCCCGAAGGTGTGGGACAATGCTCATGATATCAACCACAGATTTGCCTGGTCCAGACTTGATTATTCACAAGTCACCATGCTATAGCCACAACATGTAAAACTGTGGACTTCAACAACAAACAAAGTTTCAGCAAATGACCAAATCAGAGACCTGAAGCAACATCCTCTGCAGCTTCCAATGGATGATAATCTGTACAATAACTAAACACACCAGCCTCACAGTGGAGGAATCATAAAGTTGCCAAAAGAAGTTCAGTCAAGCAACTTCCCGATATCACATGTCTACATCTGAAAGCCGTGTAGTCACTATTCATTTCCATACCATGAGACCAAGCCCTCCTACCAGGATGTAGCACAACTAGGCCTCACACATACTCACAGCAGCACTTTTCACACAAATATAAATGTAGACCCAATTTATTACTAAAATGTCCCCGTATTGTAATTATAAGGCTAATTAATTACAGTTTCTACAAACAGTACTTAGAGTTTGTTTTTCAGGAAGAAAAAACATTTTCAAACCATATACTTGAATTTCTTAATTTTATATTTATTCAAAACTTCATAGTATTATAAATGTATTGCAACACAGAATATTATATTACAGTGAATGCTTGGTAAAATGTGCCAGCTTGAATTATGACTCATAAGAGAGTTATATTTGTCAAAGAATCATTCTCTGACAACAGAATGACATTCGTCTCTTCTTTGGACAATAATATGTAAAACATCTGATGAGTGACAATATTATCAAACATCAGAACCTATTCCTATAAAAGATGATAGCTACACTAGTCCACTCTACCCCAATACACAAACTCCTAAGGACATAACTTAACTTAACCAAGATCTATATAATATGAGAAACCTTCAACAAAGGTCTAGCAACAATGAAAATAAAACAAAATCATAATTACTTTTCGGTGTTGCCCAAACGATGCGTTTAAAGAGACGCATTTTGGTTGATGATAATCACTAATGAAGACGGTATAGCCACTGTACACTACCAACAAGATCAACAGGAAATCTACTGATAGAATGTGTAGACATGTGACGTAGGTATTGACGCTTTCACTGATAAAGAAAACAAAAATCATGACTTCCTAGAATGCCATGTGTCAGGTTGCTATTCATATTAAAACTATTACCTTATACCTAAGAATCACATGACTCGGAAAGTTTATTAAATCACGACATATTTATGCAACATAAATTTGTTTCGCTTGAAGTGGAAGGGAAGTGCAATGATCTAGGTCACCACCATGGAGAATGCACAAGCATGGATATGGTGCTAACGAACCTGGATGAAAATTGGGGTAAGTCAAACCAACAATCAGCAGATCCTGCCATCTCTAAGGGATGCTATAATCCAAGATTAATCAGCAATGCATTAAATAGTGAAGGAGTTTTGTTAAGCTCCAGGCACAGAATATTTTTACATAAACATATTCCAAGTGATTCCACAGCATTTCATTGGCTTACACATTATTTTGTGTTAATGTTTCCATAACAGTGTTTCTACCAACAGACTATTGTTTCCTGATTGACTGAAAATATATTGGGTGGGGCTTATGTTAAATTATTGCGCTCATCGATGCCACTCAGGTTTTGTATTGTTTTCGACAGTTTTTTGCATGTTGATGATTAAATATGCTGTTTTGTTTGTTTCATGCTGTTTAACGCTGCACTCAGCAATATTTAAGCTATATGATGGCAGTCTATAAATGATTGAATCTGGAGCAGACAATCCAGTGATTGACATCATGAGCATCAATCTACGCAATTGGGATACGATGACATGCATCAAGCAAGTCAGCAGGCATGACCACCCGATCCCATTAGTCGCCTCTTACGACAAGCATGGGTTGCTGAAGACCTATTCTACCCCGGAATCTTCACGGGTCTAAAAATGCAGTCTGTGAAGATATTGTTGACATAGCAGATTTACGCAGTGTGCACACCAGATTTTACGTTTATATCTCCATAAACACAAAATAACATTGAAGTCAATTCTTATATCTTGCTCACCTAGCAACTGAACATTATGAAAAATATCCTACACATACATATTGATAGACAAATAATTGTAGTTGTGGTGGTCATACCATTTTAATTTCAAAGCACATATTCTGCTGTGAAAGATTTATTACCTTTAGAACATTAAAGCCAGTTTTACAGACGTGAGTAATATTCAATCCTTTCACACAGACTGCTAATCTACCCAGGGTTGGGATCCTAGTGGTTTATGACCTGAACTGATCTCAGTCATGTGGTAGGATAACACTAATAAACATGGTAGGTGTTCCAGGTAGGTGGTCCATCACTACAGCCTTGGTAGTTGCAAGGAATGTTATTCATTTGTGCAGGCCAGGTTGTTTTGTATGTTGTTTTACTCCGCAGTCAGCAATATTCAAGCTTTGTCATGATGGCTTATAAATAATAAAATCTGGACGAGACAAACCAGTTATTGATGTGTGAGCAACCACTAGTAACATCACCAAGCCTGACCACCCAGCCCATCTAATCACCTTGGACAACAAGAATAGACAGCTGGGGTAAAAACCAACACATGTCACTCACCTGCAAACGTAGACCAATTAATGGCTATCACAGTTGGTTATCCACAAAGAGAATGTAGGTAGATTCCATCCCCATTTTATAAAATTATTATCAGGAAACCAGTGAAATACAAATGTTAGCCTCGTCATGTGACACTGACCTACATCATCATTGATTAACTTGACTAGCTATCGATCATGATTTATCTGTAATGAGCCTTTTGAAAAACCAAACTTGATAGAAAATGTATGTGGATCAAGAGGGTAGCACAGGTGTGCTTGACCTTGACTGATCTGAACAAAAGTCTTTCTTAAGCAGGACCCTATCCTAAAAACAAATGTAATAAGTTGAGTGATAAATACATTAAAACTTCTTGAGAATTATAACTACAAACATTTTAGTGACTTTTTCCTTGTGACCTTGACCTTCGACATGGCCCCAACACTTCTCCTGGGCCAGATAGCAGGATATCCCTTCGTGTCAATAAATTTTGTGTAGTAGACATGAGAAAAGATTTGATAATGGTGGTCTAATTCTTACAAAATATTAGTCTGCTCATAACCTACAAGCTACCAGATTAATGGATTATTCAAAATTAATTATTGTTGTTAAAACAAGAGTTGAAATATCCTGTTATTTTCTATATTGACCTCATATATTATTCTATATACTACACTCTATGAAAATGTAGAAATTGCCTTGCATAAAATCGGCTGATAAAACAATGGATGACGATTATTTTGTCAATTATTCAATACAATGTAACAGCGACACATAACAAATGATCAAAACCAAACCATGGAACACCTGCTAGGATATATCGAGCCAATCATCTCGAAGGAAAATCACAGGACTTTGGCATCAAATTTATCAAAATAAATCGCCCATATGTTCGCACATGTTACACCTAATATCTGTCTCATTATACATCATTAAATGATGACGCAAATGGTTTTTAATGTTGCAGTCAGCACTTGAACAGACATGTCATGTGATCCTGTATATAATCACACAAACCAGACGTCCAATTTAAGTCTAAGCGATAAAGCAACTTTACAAAATGAAGCCAGATAACACTTTCCCATCCAAAATGGGTAAGTCGCCAAGATATCTTTGCTAATGCACATTAGAAACATCTACTTACAGAAAAACAACAAGCCACAGGAATTACAGATTATCTGTCCCGAGGGTATTTATGCGGTAATTTTCGAGCCTCAGTAAGGTACGTTTAACAATAATTCATAAGGGACAGATGATTTGCAAGCAGGTTATTTTTCATATCATCTATCTTTTTTTCTGATGTCAAGTGGAACATCAGCTCAGTTAGTCAATCATTGGCACAATATCATATAAAATTATTTTAACATAATGACCAATGGATGATTTCATCTCCAATTGTTTGCTGCACTATGTTCATATCATGTCACGTTGCTACATCCTCTTGGCAAACAATCAAACAATTGTTATATACTCTCAAGTCAATACTGCAAAACTTGCTGGACTCTTTTAAATTTTTTCAGTGACTGAGACTGTGCCAATCAGCTTAAAGCAAAACTAATAATGCTCCGTGAAAATTGATGAAAATAATTTCACGGATATCCTTGCCCTTATGGGCAATTCTTCTGTTTCCAAATCATCTTCCTGAGGCAAGAACATCCGCCCACTAGCCTTATTATCCATCCTTCTTTCCACCCTTGCCACATCAAGCCCACTTTCCTGTGCTAAATATAATTTGAACTATTGCACATATCGATAGTCCAATCAGAGAACGTTTCACAAAATCAACTTCCAGACTGGTACACCTTTGTATGAAAGTGATTTGAGTCTTTGTTGACACAAATATGTACTTTTCATCTCTTAACCTCCCCAACGATTGCCTATGTTTTTGTGTCAGGGATGAAATCGCTAATGTTTTCATTATCTGATCGACTACAGTCTAGGTTGTCATCTATGGTAGTCACCATCTTTGTGAAGCTATACGAAATAAGAACAGCATTCTGATTGGATGTCCCGTCTTTATTACAAGGGACACAACTCATGGGGGTGCCAGGGTCAAGCCAAAAAAAGTGGCCTTGATGTGGCAAGCGTAGAAACTAGGCTTTGATATAGGCTAGTGGACACGCTTGCCTCGGAAAGATGTTCCCAAATGGGCTTTTGGGTCCTTCGGATGCCTTATGAAAACAGTTACACAGACATGGAAAATGGCAACAAAGAATTAAAATGACATAAAATAAGCTGGACTAAGAACAACAGTAGTGAGAAAGCATGCTATAAGACAAAATTAAGAAAGTGACACATTGCCTGCTTCATACCTACGTAGAAGGTGCATGTGGCATGCGCGGAGCAGTCAAGGTCACTGACCTGGGCACACCCAAACATTGTCTTTAAAAAATAAACAACACAAAAAGATAACATATAATGTGCATGATGGTGAAAGGCAAAAATAAAACCAATATATTCAACATGCAGGGGTCATAATTAGTATGCTGGTCGTCATATTCTCGTCACCAGGGTCCACTTGCACAAAGCGATCTTAGCGCTACAATTATTGTAAATCCTTAAGATCGCGATCTTAGGCTTCGGCTACAATCACCATCCATTTGCACAAAGCAATTGTAGACTAAGATCATTGTAAGCTATAATCGAAACTTACGATTGGTCCAGACCAATCTTAAGTAGCTAAGATCATTGTAGTCCCTGAATAAACTTGACAAAATGGCATGCAAGGCTTGGTCTGTTTCACATAAATAATCTGCTTTACGTTCTAACATTAGCTCTTTATTTTGTTAATTTTATGATTCGAATCGGCACTTTAACAACATGAAGAACGCACCACAGATTTGATGTCAAATACGCCCGTAGAGTACAATCTACCTTAGCCAGTGTATCAATGCTGTTGAATCGCTGAGCTCCCGCTGTATTTCTTTTGGGTCACATTCGTGTCAGTTAATTTGTCTTTAGTTTATCATTAAATTAATCTACAAATAAATACAAGCTGAAGAGCAAACTGATACATGTTTAAATCTAAAATCGAGTGGGATGGGGACGAGCGGTTAAATATCAGAATTTAAAAGAAAAAAATACAAGTATTCATCAAACCAGCAAATATACCTGATGAAACATTTGAATTTTTTGCAAAATATCACATAAATAGCAAAAATATAATTCACAATTTTTTTTTATTAAAAATACCCAGTGAATATATATTGAACAATTGCTTTCGTGAAACATTATTCATTATTCTTATTTCCCGTCTATGCGTTTTTGAAAGTTCCCATATTTCTGTGTTTTGAAATGGTAGTCACAACATCCAACGAAACAAAAACATGAAGGATACATTTAGGATTTTATGAAAAGCTCCCCCAAATAGATGAAGATCATGCTTTTACGCGTTATGTTTTTAGGAAATATTATTATTATTATTATTTGTTTTAATTTTCATAATAATTGTGTTACTAAATAAGGTATTTTTTCGTATTTCAATACTTTTAATAAAAACATGAGTAGGTATTTCTCTTGTTGAAATAGAAAACAATTCCTAAATCACGACAGTCTTAATGCCGACAAGAATATATGCCTTCATTCTAGTAATTGTTTCCTTCAAATAATTGGGACCTTTCTTGAAACTGTGCAAAGTGCGATGGAGGGACGTACATGTTGTGTGTCGTTATTGGTTCCACTTATTGTATGCGCAGCAAGCTATGCGCATTTGCAGACAACTGTAGACAGGAGTCGAGTTTAAGATATTCGTACCTCCACCGTTGAAGATTTCAATCTTAGCTAAGATCGTGATCTTAACTCCAAACCGTCTTCCAATCGCGCTAAGATCGGATTGTGCAAGTGGAATAGGATAATTGTATGGTGATTGTACAGTTACTTGTAGCCGCCTAAGATCAATTGTAACTAAGATTGTTCTGTGCAAGTGGGCCTAGGGTTAACATGGTAAGGTGTTTAACACATTAGGGTTATTCTGATGGTACAGAACTTGGTTATTTCTCAATGAGTGAGTGAATGAGTGATAATGGTTTTATACCACATACGGCTAGGTAAGGG